ACAGAGAACTGAATGGTGTCTTGTGCAACGATAGAAGATCTAAGGGTATTGATGCAAGAAAGACTGAAGTTGGTCTGCATGCAGATTTGAAGAATGATGAAGCTGAATACAAGAGTCATGGAGAATTGGAGAGGGGACAAAAGGAAAATGAAGGTGGTCAACCTGAGAGTTTCATCAAGTGGGAACAAACTGAAGTTGATAAGAGCAGGGATGGAATGGAGATGAAGATGGAAGTCAGATCCAACAAGTGGAAGAAGCAGAGATCTAGGAAAAGGAAGCATAGTGTGGATATTGGACAAAACAATGACGAGAACTTGAAGAGATTCTTTGTCAAGGAACCTATTGAAAATGATGGTGGTGATGGTGTTCAGAAAGATTCTTTCAAAATGGAGAGTAGCATTAACAGGGAAAAACCTGGAGAAGTTGGTCTCCATGCAGCTCCAGCTGGAATAGGGGAAGTGAAAACAGAAGTCAAATTGAAGAAAAATAGAAAACGATCTAAACCAAAGAAATACAGTAACAGTGAAGCTCTTTCATGCAACGATGATGTAAATTTTGAGAGTTTTAATAACAGGGAACAATGCACGATTGTTGGTCACAACACTGGTGCATCTGGAGTTGGGGAATTAAAAGGAGTCGTCAAATCCAGTGAAGGGGATCAAGTGCCATGTGAAGATAAAAATGGCAATTGTGCAGTGGTATTGAAGGAAGCAGACAGAGAAGTCAAACATGGCAAAGTGAAAGGTGTTTCATTTAGCGTTGAAAAGTTTGAAAAATATGTTGGGGAACAAACTGATGACGGGGCTGCAAACAAGACAAGAGACACAGTTGAATCTAAGAACAGAAAACCGAGATCTAAAAAAAGGAAACATAGTGATGATGTCACACATAGCAATGGTGAAAAAGTATGTAACTTTGAAAATATGGAGCAGAGTAAAAGGGATGGAAATAATGGTCCTGTTGCAGATGGACTGGAGGAAAAGATGGTAGAGATCAAACACAGCGAACTGAATGGTGTTTTGGTTAACGATGGTAGATCTGAGGGCATTGATGCAAGAAAGACTGAATTTGGTCTGCATGCAGATATTAAGAATGATGAAGTTGAATACAAGAGTTGTGAAGAATTGGAGAGGGGACAAAAGAAAAATGAAGGTGGGCGACCTGGGAGCTTCGTCAGGTTGGAACAAACTCAAGTTGATAAGAGCAGGAATGGAATGGAAATGGAGACGGAAGTCAGATCCAACAAGAGGAAGAAACAAAGATCTAAGAAAGGGAAGCGTAGCGTGGATATTGGACAAAACAATGATGAGAACTTGAAGAGATTCTTTGTTAAGGAACCTATTGAAAATGATGGTGGTGATGGTGTTCATAAAGATGCTTTCAAAATGGAGAGTGGCATCAACAGGGAACAACCAGAAGAAGTTGGTCTCCATGCAGCTCCAGTTAGAATAGGGGAAGTAAAAACAGAAGTCAAATCCAAGAAAAATAGAAAACGATCTAAAGAAAAGAAATACAGTAACAGTGAAGCTCTTTCATGCAACGATGACGGTGAATTCAAGAGTTGTGGTTCTTAATTTTTTATGATTATTAAAATCATGTGTAAAGTGAAATTTTGGAATACAAGTTTTAAAATCATTATTTTCAATATTTTCAAACTTGAGTGTTTCATATTCAGGTTTGGAAATTCAATCAGAGAATTATTTGCGCTTTCTTTTTTGAAAGTATTTAAATCACACCTTAAATGTCTTTTCTTAAGTCAAAGATCAGTTTTTCATTTTTGAATATCACACCCGGTGGGAACCTTAATTCTTGCAAGACTTAAAGATTCCATATTTATGGTTAGGTTTTCTTATATAAAAATTTTCTGAATTGAGCAATTGAAACTGCCATAAAGTTCCAGAACTAAACTGTAAATTCCAGAACATTGTTGTTCTCTGACTTCTCTGTCCAGAACATCAACAAGTTTTAGAACCTTGGATAGAATTTTGAAATTAAAGACTTTCCATAATCGAAATAACAAGGATGGTGATAATGCAAGTGTATGTGCATTCTGTGAAACGAGAATTGAAGTGGAGTGAGCTGCTGATGGAATGAAGCAGAAACGAACTTGGAGCCAAGTAACAATGCAAAGATGTTAAATAGCATTCAAATAGAACACAGTGAAGGTACTAACGGACATGCCGCTGCAGATGGATTGCTGATAAAAAATTCAGCAGCCCAACCCTTGAGAAGAAGACAAAAACGAAGGTCAAAGAAAGCGAAGCTCTTGGAGGGCGGGCCTCTCGCAAATGACAGGAAACAAGAACTGAAGTGGAACTGAAGGATGGTTATAAGAAGAAAAGAAGACGAAGGTTAACGAGAAGACAAAGA